AAAAAAAAAAAAAAAAAAAAAAAAAAAAAAAACACCGGAAATGAATTAACACCATCATTTCGTACTATTGATTTCCTTGCATTTTAGCAATGAACACCACTTAAGTAACGGATGCCTGTCAGAGGAAACATGAGGACAGCGATAACACCATCACAGATACACATGTACATGTATGTCAACATAACGATTTCATGCGGCTCCAAACTATAACGGTGCCTTTAAGCTTCATATGGACATTTAGGTGTGGGTCTTTCTTTTATGAAGCCAAATGTTCCATGAAACGGCTATTCAGAACTGTTCATATTAAATTCATCTCATTCCGAAGCCTGACTTACGAAATCCCCGTTTCATGAATAATTCAGCCTTTTCCAATTAGAGAATTACAAGGGCGACCGCTTTTCACTTATTATAGTGGTACAAATTAAGCTGGTTTCAGTGCTGTAGAAAAAGCATGTGGATGTAGCACATCATCTCAGGAAGAAATAAATTACCCGATGAACGGACAGCTTGAACAACAACACGCATTACCCAATGTTTGTGTGTAGGGGCACCAGAAACAAACCAATGAGATTTTATGAAATTCGTGAGTTTGCACAAAAGAGACCGATGAAGTACTTCTGAGGAATTATGCAAGTCATGCACACTATAATGCACTGCCCACTGGCTGTAAAATGTTTAGACGCTACCACAAGAAATAAATTAAAGTCCCTACATGCTTTGCAAGGATACCGCTTTCGTAGCGCAATTTTTTCTTACGATCGAATAGCTTCAGTAATACTGGGATCTTTCTAGCTAGTTTATTTACTAATTATTTTTTTTAGTGGCGTCAATATGAGCATAACAGAAACAAGATTGTTCTGGAGGAAAATTTATTATGTGAAGTATACTAGATTAAGATATTGGACATCCTCACACTATTGGCATTAACGTACTACAACACTGAAGACTGTATCATAAATACGACCATTTCTTCTACTCTATTTTGTAAGAGAAGGAAGAAACAATGGACGATATTATCAAATAAAAATAATCTATACCAACAAAACATGTTTTCGTATAGTTCCCCGTGTGAATTGTATAAAACGGTATACATAATAATAATAATAATAATAATATAACCTAATAATAGTACTTAAGTTTTCCTGACTAAATACAGTCAATACGTTGCTATTGGAAATATATTATATTTGTTCAAAAGTCTACATTGCTACAATGTATACAATCCAGTTAAAAAGTACCAGTAACCAATTCCATCTTTCTCTCAACTTGCTGTCGTGCTGCCGATTTATTCAAGTAACAGGAAGAAACGTAACACGCTGGAAATAATTTTAACTTTCGACTTATCATCATTATGTATCATTAAATAGAAAATTATATTAAGTATCACCAATAAGAAAATATCCGAGTATTATCAAGTTTAACTACATGTCAACTTCAACAATGCATTATATGTGGTCGAGGTAGTGACAAATTAACTAACTGCTTCCGTCTATTCCGAGGTTTATTCCTCTTTGTGCTTTTCTTTTTACATAGACAGTTATACTAAGTTAACACTATCATCGAAGCACTGTTTTGCGCGTGCGTGCGCGCGCGCGCGTGTGTGTGTGTGACCACTAAATTCGGATTACCAAATAACCGGTTGTGACTGACGGAGTAAAATCTGAATCTGACTGTCAGTGTCAAAAGCATTGTAAACTGATTGGCAATCTGAATGTCAACTTTGCCCTTTTTAGATTCAGGTCTTTACTAATCATCGTCTTCATCGTCATCATCAGGCACAGGAGGCGGGGCGTAGCTCTGCGCAGTGCTGCCATCTACCGGTCGCACCATGGTGCTGCTGCAATATCTGACTGTGTGTAAAGGAACACACTCTTCTTCCATCGGGAGAGGGTGTTGATCCCCTTTTCTGTGAGGAAAAGAGATGATAACGGGCACGATTTAACGTAAGTTCAACAGCAATCACGACAAGATACAGCAACCAATCCTCTACACGCCATATATTAATAGATTCTTACTGTAGCACTTAAAATATTGCAATCTCTGTATCTAAACATTTGCGGTTTTAAGTTGATTGCTTCATAACTGCACATTCAATTCCACGAAATAAAATCTTCACATACTTGTTATAGACTCTTGTAGGTCTGTATAGTTCTGAATAAGTACACGTATGCAATTTTTACAATATTCACGTGTTACCTGGCGACCATTCGGAGAGCAAGGACAATCTTCTTGGAAAAATTAAGGGGGAAATTGTCTACGCTCTGGAAATCTTGATTGGTATGCCCTTGTAATGTGGTGGCACCGGCAGAAATCTTAAATTCTGTGATAGAATGCACCTCATCGAGCAGGTCTCCAATATGGGAGATGTCTTCCTGAAGCATTTCATCCTGTGGAACACGCTGCCTGCTTTTGTGTCTTCTCGACATGAAGTAAAAATAACCTTAAATTTCATGTAGCTCAAGATTTTTTACAATTATTGGTTCGTTTTGGTATTATTCAATGGGCTTCTTTAAGGGATGTTTTTGTTGCTATTTTAATACTGTGTAGCGTATCTGGTTTTTGGAAAATGTTTGAAATATTATAAACATAATTAATAATAGAATAACAAATTAATGTTCAGTCGGTCTGTATGGTCTCGATAACTTGTAACGATTCAAATATGCCGCATATCTGTGATTAGTGTGAATACAAAGACTCACCTTATATCGTCAATGTCATTATGTCGTTTGGCACAATTCCAATCATCACTGAAATAAAGAAAAAAAGAAACACCCATCTTAATAAATCATAGAAACCACAGAAATCCGGCTATTGAACAAAAGTAACAAAGGGTTCTTTTCAGACAAAAAATCGTTTTGTACAAGTATTGCTGATCAAAATAAACGTCACTTCAGAAAACCCAAGGCACAAATTTGTTTGTTGAACAAAAGAATAAAAATAGTACATTCAACAAAATTACAAAAGAAGGAAAAAATGAAAAGGAAGCCTTGGCTAAGTGGCGGAGTGGTTATACCGAATGGCAATGTAAATATACTTACACAAGATCAAAGAGGCCCACACTTCTGGCACTGTTCTCTAATACATTCAGTTGATTAGTTGCCACATCTAAGATATTAAAAACATATAAGTAGGCACTTATTTTCAAATGACGGAGTGCAGACAATTAATTGCATCAATCAGACTACATTGTATATAATGTGTTACTTAATGTATAAAACGTAACTCTTTGTTACCCGTGACGATAAAATACAAGACTGTATTAATATGGAGTAGGCCCTATCACTCAAAAGTGTACAGAAAGCTTACTTTAAAAAGTATTTCTTGACAAAAATATTTGGCTTATTTAATTGACAATTTAAGACATGTTATTTTCTGCTTCTCATAATAGAACCCTGGATTATTTCAACATTGGCGAGGAAAGGATGCTCGCAGAGCTTGATATTTTTCAAGTATACACTAATTTAATTTTTTTATCTCACTTTAATTTTTTTATCTCGAGCGTCCGACTTACTATCTCGAGCGCCCGACTTACGCTAACTCGGGCGCCCGAGTTAATTAGCCAATCACAAACCAGCTTCAGTCAAAATGGCAGACATGAGTAGAGACGATCTCATTACGCTTTATTTAATCTTGGACTCAAATATAAAGACATTGTATTTAGTCTTAGTGCCAAGTGTTACTGAGTTTAAGAACTCTTAAAAGGATCCTGAAGAAGAAAGGACAAGTAAGGCGCAAGAACTATACAGATATAATTGACATCATTGCTTTCTTGAGAGAACAGCTCATTGGATCAGGATCCCTTCGTGGATACAAGTAATTATGATCTATATGCTGTTAGGCGAGTACAAGAATTCTTTGTTGAGGCCCAGAAAAATCGCCAAAATGGTCAAGACAACAGAATGCTCACTCAAAGCTCAATGGGCACGTTTACTGAGCAACCCTGTATAATGATTTTGTAATCGATACTTGTGTTAATGGCATTACTGTACTATTTGTCTAGGAACTTGGTGTGTCTTTCTATGCTCAAGTTGTACACGAAGGACGCCGACATTAAAAATTGATAATTGCTCGGTTCATATGTACCTTTAAAGAGGTAAAACTCAAAGTATCCTTTATCTCGAATCAACCTTATGAAAAGATTTTTCTTCGGTATAAGCTGGAATTAGTATGAACATTTCTAACTCATATCTCCCACAAATGTTCAGGTTCCAAAGTGTCCGCAATGTATGTATATAAGATTATTATGCTCGTCTCCTTTTGCAAAGTTTTGCATCTAAACCACTACTTACTTACCTATCAAATTCATGACAGACTGATTCTCAATGCCCAGCTGCGCCAGACACTTCCGTTCTTCTACGAGAACGCGCGCAGTGCCGCTCACACAAAAACCCTCCACCTGTTGGCTGGCTAGCTCGCCATCCGTCCCCTTGGGATCTTCAACGACTTGCTTGAGGACATGATACAGCGTGGCGCATGTTTCCGTCTCCACGTCTCTAGTCCATGTCTTGTTCGGACTGCTCCTGGTAATGTTCAAGGTTACCTGTATGGGCTGGGATATAATTACATCGATGACCGGACACCTTGCGGTCAAGAATTTGAG